GACAGCAGCCCAACAACAATAGACAATTAATAGATATCTAGAGGGCAACATACAGTCTTCAAAAAAGTGTCTAAACAATGAGCTCTAAATCGTTCAAGGGCTATAGAAAGTTGTGAATATAGTTAACATACCCGTAAAACAAACTTCATATTGGCATGCGCAGGAGAATCGATTACAGTGGAAATTTGATTGTCATTTGATTTCTATTTCTTTTATATACTAGCGAAGAAATGTGTGTTCTCGTTTATACAATTGCTTACAAGGAAATCCTTTACATATTTTTTACATGAATTTTTAACCGCATTTTGGCAATATGCTTTTTATCCATCTGGCCTCAATATATACTTGAGCTGTGGTCGTATTTCTATTTCCGTCCTCTTCGAAACTGGAGTTTTATTAAAACTGCTGTACGGTCTTGCTGTCCGCCCTTGTACACATGTACCACAGTTGATATATACAAACCCTGTGTTTGTAAACAATGGGATTACTTTAAACGTACAAGTATTACCATTTCTTAAGGTAATTAAAATATAAAAAATGTAAATGCGGGGCTCACGCCAATAACCGCTGATAACCAAAAGTCATCTAGAGAGCAATGTACAGTTGTCAACAATAGACATAGAGGTGTGTATATAGTATATCAGGTTCTAACAAAAAAATATTGACGAAAACAAACAGCTTATTTATTGTATTTTTGTTTTTCGAATATCTGTCTGATTACAGGAGATATAAATTATATAGAATACATTAAACTTAGAATTGCAGTAGAATCTATGTAAAATGTAAAAATTAATATTATAATACCAAAGAGATTTCCACAAACTGATTTCATATTTTTCAATTGTACCAGTAATTAAATGAAACGAGACCCTTAAATATCTGCGCTATTTTCACCACAATTCACCATTATCATGGAGCCTGTCTGATTTTTTTTAAAACAGTTGTACTTAACAATTAAAATTATAGCAAAATAAAACAGGAAGATCCTGGGTTTTTTTTATTATTCTTCCTTGTTTGATTAAGCACGAGAAAATGAATAAGGGATTGGAAAAAATCCAGAAATACTTAAAAAATATATTTAAACCCGGAAGATCTTGTGCATTAAGGAAGGAGCACCTTAATTTTAGTTAAGTCGTTGTCGTTTCTTATTTTCAACTTTTACGTCATGCTTTGGAACTCATTTGACTTTTTTTCCTGTACGCGGCATGCATATTATTTTGAAATTGTGTATCTGTTAATATCAAATTAAAAGCATCTCACTTTTTCTCTTTATGTTTTAATTTTGTTATCTCACCACTTTCTTTTACTTTCATATTCTTTCTTCCCGATACATTTCATTTATAAAATTCGGGAATATCGTTTTTCCCTTCAGAATTATAGTTTTCAAATGCTTGTATATCTTGCATTTGTTATCTGTGTGATTTAATAATTTAAACGTATTATACACCGTTTGGTTTCTATGATACTTTACTGTTGTTTGAATTTGGCAGTAAACACTTCCTGTTTATAGGACATCAACGGTTTACTCAGCTTAAGATCTCTTGACAGTATTTCAAAACAATCGAGTATGTGCTTCTAGTATTTTAATTCTTCATTAAACAGAACTGGTAGATTCATCTTGTACACGGAAAGGCCGAAATGGTGACTGATAAATGCTTTGAAGATAGAAGGCGGTGTGGGTCATCTGGTTATCTAATTGGTTACGGCTACAAGTACTGCGATCATTTAGAAACCTATACTACAAGTTTACAAGGTGAGGTAAAAACATTGGATTAATTGTGTCAGACCATGCTTGACAAGAAAACTGATCGGAAAATACCAGGAAAATGTAAATGCGGGAGAAAAATGTGAGGAGTTAAAATCCTACGCATTTGACACCCATGTTAATTGCTATTTGAACTGTGGCTTTTGCAACATATATAAATCAAATTTAGGTGCTCTCCACGATGTCTTTAAGTACAGGGACATGATGTCATGGAATGCTCTCAAACAGATGTCAGCAGTGGGATATAGATGTCTTAGCTAGCAAAGAGATGTTTGATATACTAAAATTGATGTCTATATATTAAAAAATAGAAAAATATGGTGCCTTTTTCATTAGCCTCAACTCGGGGAACATTCAAAATTCGAGTAATTTCACGGGTTGAACAAAAACACTTAACAAGACAGGAACAAAGATAATACATTCAAGGTTTGGTGGGAGGGAAAGCGAATCCAACCTTGGTTAGTTTAACGGTCTTCGTAATGAGTATTTTGCTTGGTGCAATGATTAAATCAGTAGACAAAATCGGTTGCATTTCTTTGTCATCCATTTGCTTTACTCTTTCTATTTCAGTTTTTTTTCTTTACATTGCCCATTTGGTTATATTACCACAATGTATATAGATATCAGTGGCTTTCCTATTTTTTGTCACAGCAATCCTAGGAAATAATGCTAAGTTGTGAAGAGAACATCGAAGCAAAAACCCAACAACATTGTGTGCCTGTGCCAAGTATGGCTATCTGCACCATATGTTTTTCCGTTGTTTGTCTTTGTACGTCTATTGTTCGGAGGAGTCGTGTGGCTGTGTTTGGTGTGGTCTGATGTACAGTACTGTCCAATATCTGATAATTTCTGTTATCCTTTTTATGTATTTTGTTCTATGTTTTAACGCAAAAAAAAAATTCGAATGACCCCATTAAATTTTTAGTAATTTACGACTTAAAACCAAAAGATCAGAAGCGTTGCTTTGTCTAATACTTGATTAAATTGATTAAATTTAAAGGATGAGTTTTTTTTTTTTTTTAGTTTGCTAGTTTTGATAACGGTCATTTCATTTTTTTTTTGCCCATTGTTGTGTAGTATTGGCCAATTATTCTGTACTCTGTAAACCCCATCCAGACCCTCATATATCAATGCTTTGCGTTTGAGTGTTCCTGGTAAAGGTTTATCCAGAAAAATGCTTCGGAAACAGCAAATTTGTGAAGTGTTTTCTTTTTTTTTTTTTTTTTTTTTTTTTTTTTTATTGGTGAACAACAGTCAAAGTGATGTACATGGCAGTTATTCTAAAACGGTAATTTTACAACACTTTTGGAATCTTAGTTCATCATTCATGACCTTCTGATAATAACATTAACGGTACCAATTTTACTGCACTAGATGCGTATTTTGTCGGAAAATTAATGTCGTTAAAGTGATGCTCGAGGCCAAAACATTTAAAATCCAAAACCTAATACATACTTCGACGAGATGAGAAAATCAAAACGGACAAGAAATAAAACCAAACCCAGACAAGATATCAGAGCTATGCATGTGGGAGACACGTACTTAATTCAAAATGAGTTTGAAATTCTATAATAGCAAATTTAATTAAAACAATATCAGTATGTTCATGCTAATACCGAAGTACTAGCTACTGGGCTAATGATATCCTCGAGGACTAACAGTCCACCAGCAAAGTTATCGACCCAGTAGTAGTAATAACATTAACGGTACCAATATTACTGCACCCGCACGTATTTCATTTAATGTCTCTTAAGTGACGACGCTCGAGGTCAAAATATTTGTAAATTCAAATCCCGATACAAACACTGAAGAGCTGATAAAATAAAAAAGGATCAAACGTAAAGCGGTTACTTTCTAGATCAATAAAAGGCAAATGTTTTCTCTATAATCTTCAATTGTTTAAGGTATTTTAACCCATTTGATACAATTCTCATCAAAATAACAAATCCAATTAGAAAACAAACTATCGGCCTTTTCAAATGTTTTTTTTTTACTTTGTTCTTATGTTGTGGTGTAACACCTCTGTCACAGGTCAGTGGGAAGGGTTGGGCGCCGCAAATATGTTTAATCCCGCTACATTCTATAAGTGCCTGTCCCATGTCAGGAGCATTTATTTGTTGCTGTTGATGATATTTGTTTTATGTTTATAACTTTGTATAGTTTATTCGTGTGTTGTGTTGTTGCACCACTGTCGATGGTCAGGGGAAGGGTTGGGCGCCCGCTAACATGTTTAACCCCGCCACGTTCTTCCTGTCAGGAGCCTATAATATAGTGGAGTATATATCTCTCCAATTGATACAATATTCCCGGGCTTGTGTTTCCTATCATGATTTCTTTGATAGAGGATTGCTGCTCACAAGGAAGCTATTAAACCAAGAGTTCCAAATGGTGAAGTTGAAGTCATCCCTTCGTAAATTTTACGGACGCCATCACGAGCTGGTTGACCGTTATGGTATAACCGTTTCACAGATGATATCGGATATGTTCCTTATGTCGTAACTACAATACCCTCCCTTTTCACGAATGTGACTTACCGAATTAGACTATTTACCGGATTTGTAATAACATAAGTAACACGACGGGTGTCACATGTGGAGCAGGATCTGCTTACCCTTCCGGAGCACCTGAGATCACCCCCAGTTTTTGGTTGGGTTCGTGTTGCTTAGTCTTTAGTTTTCTATGTTGTGTCATCTGTACTATTATTTGTCTGTTTGTCTTTTTATTGTTGGCCATGGCGTTGTCAGTTTGTTTTCGATCTATGAGTTTGACTGTCCCTCTGGTATCTTTCGTCCCTCTTTTGTTGGTGTATATCGTATTTGTTTTTTCATTAATGGTTTTGTACATAAATCGGGACGTGAGTTTCTCGTTTGAATTGTTTTACATTTGTCAGTTCGGGGCCTTTTTTAGCTTGATATGCGGTATGGGTTTTGCTCATTGTTGAAGGCCGTACTGACCTATAGCTGATAACCTTCTACTTCATTTCGTCAATGGTGGAGAGTTGTATCATTGGCAATCATACCAGATCTCCTTATTTATATATTCCATAACATAAACCTTCATATCAAAATTAGTGTATAAAAAGCTAGAAGAGGAAGTGACATTTAATGATAGTAGATTATAATCATTTCAATTTAAGAACACCACGAAGGACACGTGGTTCTGCTGCATAACATATCGGAGAAGCGATTAGCAAAGTGGTGGCAGTTATTTGACAACAGGCGATAGCTACCATAGCGTTGCCTGTACTTATTCGTACAACGTTTCAAACAATCTATGCTCAAACTGCTGTATCCGGCTGGACGACTCTCACGCTTAGAAGAATATTTATTAGAGTCCTTAGGGGCATTTGAGCTAAAAATATCCCCTCCATTCTTCAATCGTTAAAGATAATGGCCATTTTATTCGATCCATCTGTGCTTTAGTGCCCATGTAGGTCGAGATGGTGACGATCCACGTTTTCCTTTTGCCATACAAAACAAACGAGCTGTCCCAAAGTGGAATGGTTTTCCTCTTGAAGGATCTAAAAAATAGAATTTAAAATTGTTTAGCAGTTGTAAAAACTCTTCTAAGAATATTATTACATTATTAAAACATTTTATATCAATTTCTAATGATTTTGAAAAATATCATAAGTCTTAGAACAGTTCATACGAGATAAAGGGCTCTATTATCATTTGCAAAAAAATGGTCTTCAAACATGCTACAGAATGGTTAACATATTCAAAAGATCTTTCAAAATTATTTGAAAATTCAATCCACCATCACTACAACAGATATTATTTTAATATTTTTACGAAACATACCACTACACTTAGATGCAGTGCATGGTCTGTGCCTAAACCAGGTACCACATCGGTTCCTCCTTCACCAAAGCCATCCAAACGAATTTGTTACTAGAACAGTACCAGAAACGTCAGCTGTTTTTGTAAAAGAAAACTTAAAAGTACTCTTGATTGATTTCCAATTATGAGTGGATTTGTGGAATATCAATGTCTATCAATGTCTATCTTCATTATATTACCGATAATTGTGTGATATTATTATTATTATTATTATTATTATTATTATTATTATTATTATTATTATTATTATTATTATTCATACAGAAAATTCATTTTTTTATCTATTGAAGTTTAATTATTCAGTGAAACTTACCATGAAAGTTACTTTCATTGTTGTTGGTGATTTTCGTGTGAATTCCGTCAAGGAACCGGTGTTAATAATTTAATTAATTGCAGTTGTAGAATATATAAACGTATCATTTATGGTAACATATGCTGCGTAGTTGGTTCTATTACAATGTTTATCATTATAAGTTCCGAGAAAAAGTACAGAATCTATACATTTAAATTATTGAGAATTCAACACATGCATGATCATTTTGTAAACAATCGGAGCAGATGTCATTTCTCTTCAAAAGAAAAAGAAAATATATTGATTAAATACCAAAATTTTCTTCACCAAAAAAATCTTTGTAAAGGTGCAAGTTACAAAAATTGATTTAATTGATTGACTTTTCCCTAGTTTTTAACTGATTTTTTTTTCTTGCCCGATTGTTGATTATTTCATAATCAATACGTGAATCGCTAGTTCTCTGTCGAATCCAATTTTGATGTAATATTTCCTTGCCATCTGTGTTTTGCCTTTGTAAAAAATTTGACCATGAACGATTATGTCAGACAGCAAAAACTATTTTTGTACAGACAACATTCGTAAAAATTTGTCTACTAAAGAAATATATATATTCAAGAATTATTTCTCAATCATGCAATTAGATTTGTCATGTTTCTCCGCTCTCTGAAGTTGAATTTTTGATATTTCAAAAGAGTATTCAATGTATATTGATGAAGCATATAAAACTAATACATGTAGACCAAATGCGCGTCGGGCGTATAAAATTATAAGCCTGGTATCTTTGATGAGATTTTTTTACTGATATTCCACTGTCAAAATACGATCTTAATTTAAGAAAAAAAAGTCATTTCTATTCACGTGGTGTGTTATTCTTTCACCATTTTGAATTGTAAAATAGCAGAGCAGGTTTAGATTTTCAATCAAGCCAAATGTAGAAATGTAATTTACTAATAGGAATTTTCATTTAAATGAACAAAGTTATGTGATTTTATCTTACAATTACTAATATTTTTACAAAGTGAAATGTTTTGCTTGATTTGAATCATTTTTCTTTTAACTCAACTTAGTACGGGGAGGTAACTCAGATTTTGTATAATTTATAAAGGAATCTACAGGAATTTTTCTGTATATGTTAAAGCGGATAAAACGTACGGTGACCCCATTTTTTGTTGAGGTATTCTGAAAGCATTTCATAAGAGCTATTCTTTCATATTTTATTTTAAAATTATATCATTTAGTTTACCATCTGTTAACAGTATGATGCCTTTTCTCTGTATAATCCATACAAAATGTCCCAGTCATGTTTTCACAACCAGTAGCTTGAAAGCAAGCTCGGTGACCTATTATTTTTCGTTTAAAAAAAATCTCATACTATCTTAACATACTGACTATTTTCACTTCTGATTCTAGACGGTGGTCAGTTTAGATATCAATGGGCTTCTTTGGAAAGGGATTTCTGCAGATAGTGGGTTAGATACTTCACAGTTGCATAATTATTTTTGTTAAGTACGAAAAACAACAAACTTAAATATACTTCGCCTTGAGATAATAATGATTGTATTAAATATGGCATCAAGTTTAGTAGTTATTTTCCCACAATCCTCAACTTGAAAAAAGAATTTTACACAGCCTGCAACGAGCTTTACCAACATTCTATACTATGTATATCTTTTTAAAAATTGAGATATAAACTAAATTTAATTAAAGTACAAAATATTTATCGTTTTTGTTGATTTCTGCTCACATCCTAGAGGGGCCTGATGTGGGGGTCTCATCACGATTCACGAGTTGATTTTTTATTTGTCAATCACGATTCACAGATAATAAATTTCCATGATCACGGATCACGAAAATATAAAAAACAAATAAATCTGTAGAAAAACGGATCACGATAGCGAAAATGCGCCGATCACGAAGAACGAAAATAACCCATCAGGCCCCTCATCCTACCTCTATTAAAAGGGAGGCGAAAGATAACAAAGTGACATTCAAACTCATAAGTGAAGTCGAAAACGAACTGACAACTCAATAACAAAACAAAAACGAAAAAAATGAAAGAAAGAAAAACAACAAACAAACAACATTACACAACATATAAAACTAAAGACTGAGCAACAGATACCCACCAAACACCGGGGTGATCTCAGGTGCTCTGGAAGGGTAAGCTGTGCTGTTTTCCATGCTATATATTCTACTGTTTTGCCTTTTCCAGAAATATTTTGACTTGGTTTCAGAGAAACTTTTTCCAACCTCAAAACTACAGATGCACTCAATCAAGTATTATTATTTTTATAAAAAACACAGAACGTGATTGATGCATACAAAAAATGAACGTTTCCGTACAGAGATTGTTTTTAAATAATTATGTAACATGAGAACTTCCGGTATGTGAAAGACCAAACAAATTCATCCCAACGGTTTGTTTTATATCAATATATGTCTTTGATTAAGAATTGATTATTTCAGACACTGTAGATGCTAAAATTAACATATTTAATCTGACTTGGGATCTCCTGTAACATGAGCAATTCTTTACTTATATTTTTGTAAATATTATCATGATTATCTGACAGAACTATTTTTCATGTGCGTTTTCCATAAAAACTGACTTGGTTTCACATCTTATAAAAAGGTACAATAAAGGAGAGGCGGAAGATACCAAAGGGACATTCAAACTCATTAGTCGAAAATAAAATGACAACGCCATGGCAAAAAAGGAAAAGACCTAAAGACATGAAAGACAAACAACAGTATACAAAACACAACATAAATAACAGTAATAAGCATTAAAACATATAATTTGGTGAGCAAACCTAAGAAATTCAAAATGTTAAATAAACTTGCACGATTCAAATTCATTGAATTTTGTAATTTGGGCTATAAACTGGCTATAGATAGACTATTTTCATATTACTATATTTTGACTTCAGAGTATATAATCTTTGGACAGGTTACCTACTCTGTGGTAGGACATTCTGGTTCTCAAGTACACAAACAAATTAAGAGCAACTAAAATAAGTAAATTCAAGCATACAATCGGTGCAATTTGGGGGAAAATTAACTGATTTTCGATGATGATGTCATGTATAGAAAACATAAAACAGTTAATCTGTTCCAAAAATTGAACCAATATTAAGCTTGATTTTAATTATTTTAGTTGCTATTACATGGCTGAGTACCAGAATGTTCTACCACAGACATGACAGAGTATGATAGCCTGTCAAAATATTATATACATGTATTCCGGAGTCGAAATTTGGTAATATGAAAATTGTCTATCAAGAAAAATCCACTATTTTTGAAAACCACATTCAACTGTTTCTCAATCAATTCGTATTAGATTTATTAGTTTATTTATAAAATTTATAAACGTTATTTATAGAACTGAATATTTAATGCTGGAAGACATTGAGAATGTTTGATGTTGGATGACTACAATCATGTCTGGTGAGATATTTAACCCACCTGACAGTTTAGATGATTTGGATGTTACACGATGGAACCCACTCATGTGCTACCTGTGTAATGAGAAGTACGAAGAACCATTTATTCTGGGATGTTACCATAGCTTGTGTTCTCGTTGTTTGAGCGGGAGAGATGTTGAAGGGAAAATGACTTGTCCACTCTGTGGGTAAGTAAGACTTCTTACAACTGCTTGATTTTTTTTTGCAGGGAGAAGTCGTTGCAATAAGCACTGTAAAAGAAATGTTTTTCATGAAATTCAAGTGTTCACCATGTTCACAATTTTGAATATCAACATGATAATGATGATTAACATAATTTATTGTGAAAAAACAAATGATATACATTGCAGCAGTATTTTTTATACTGAATTGAATATAAACCTTAAATATATAATTTAATTTTTGTATGATTTGTCGACGGGTTACCTTGGACATCATGGTACCAAGTTAGGTAAGAGCAAGCTAAAGAAGTAAAACCAAGCTTTTAATCGGTACAATTTTGGGGGGAAATTACCTGCTTAACATTTTTTTTTCACTACAAAATCATCGGAAAAGAGTAAACTTCCCCTCAAATTACACCGATTATATGGTTGATTTTACTTATTTCGGTTGCTCTTACTTGACCGAGTACCATGATGTCTAAGGTAACCAGTCGACAAATTATATAATCCGGAGTCAAAAGTCAGTAATATGAAAATAGTCTATTCATGGTATTGTCATGTTGGGCAGGCAAGGTAATGTGGGCATCTTCATCATGTACATTTTGTATTTTGTGTAATCATATTTGGAAACTTCAACATGATGGTACTTATATTATGTAATCAACTTGTCATACAGTTTTAAACTAAGATCCATTGATTGTCACAGAAATGTTGCACACCTTCAGTGTTTAAGAAACATCTGCAACCATACCATTTGAGCCTTTGATCCATTTTCCAATATTAAAAAGCCAAATAGAAAATTGCTTCTTCAGCTGTTCTTTCTATATTTCTACTTTTGTAGTCAAAATCTTTCTGTATGGTGTTTATTGAATCAAAATGAAACAAGTTGAATGCTGATGATTAAGAGTGGTAATACTCTGATTTATGACCTTATCATATCTATACAGTAAACAATCTATACAGTAATCAATCAATACAGTATACACAACAAGAGGATTCAGTTAAAAATAATGTATGGTGGTGTTAAGTGATTCACTGCAAATCAGGGTTTGTGATCTCTGACCCTATGATACATGTATATATACTTCCTATTAAATATGTAGAGATGTATTTCAAAGTAATACACCATCAAACACCAACATTGACCATGTGTTGACTGAAAAATCATAATCAAGAGTGATTTTTGACTGAATCCACTATCCACCCGACACGAAATGAGGTGGATGGATGTAACTATAGATCTTTAATAATGAGCAAAACTTATAATGTTTAGTCAGCTACGAAAGACCCTGACATGACAAAATACAAAACAGTTCAAACAAGAAAACCAGCAGCCTGATTTTTGTAACAAATAGTATTTAATACAATAGACAACAACCAAAGACAACAACTGAATTAAATGCATAAATGTTTGATTTGTATTTTATATCTATAGACTAGGTACACAAATAAAGGATGGTGAGGATCTGCCTCCTTCCGACAGATTGATGAAGTTTCTGGTAGAATCTACTGGGGAAGAGGAAGAAAATTGTGTTAACTGTGATAATGTAAGTTATAAATGATAGTGTCTTTACTTGTCTATTACCAGTTCCTTCACAGTTTTTTCTTGAAAATTGTTTAATAAAATCTTTGTTTGCGAATACCCTAGTAACATATGAAGTGTTTTCAAAAGTTATGTTTAGCACAAAAAACTTTAAAACCTCATATCTGCAACATAAAATAAGTTACTACATGTAGTGTTGTGTTTTTGTGTGATATTTCATTGAGAAGCAAACACAAACAAATAGTTATAACATTGTTTTAAAATCAAGAAAGTAAGATTTTAAGGAAACCTTTGAAATTTTGTCATTATTTGGTTCAAAATAAAAACATTCTTAGTATATACATGTATATAATGATGATATACTGATGAGTAGTTCGACGCTAATTAAAATTATTGAACCAGAATGATTTCAATGTTTAAACAATGAATTAGACTGTATGTCAAGCTAAAGTTATGAATGTGTTTTTATTTTAGTGTGTAATTTTCTTACTGGCAGGCTGGTAGGTTTTCAACTTTTGAACATTTACTTGAAACAAAAAAAACAAAAACAAAAACAGAAATAGCCATATTGACACTTTCAAGATTGATTTTTGTCTAGGATTTCAAAACTGAACATCTGTTGCCAGTCATGCAAAGGTCTGTTTACCTGTAAATGTACATGGTGTACAAAAAATTTATGTGTTGTAGAATAAATGCAGATTTTGCTGAAAATCTGATTATTAATTTTACATGGAAAATGTTTGTCAAGGTTATTCACCTACATCATGTACATGTAAATGATATAATTAATAAATCTGACATTCCTGGAAATTGTAATTATTTTGACATTTTATTTTCTGATACTTTCCATTGTACATGTTGTATTTGGTAGTTTTTACACACAGGATAATATCAGGTTTTTAAAGTTTTATTCATTTTTTTCTTGTAAACAATTGTTGGCAATTATCTTTCTTCAATGTCAAATGGATGCTTGACTTTTAAATCTTTGTGGTATGGCCTAAAGAAAGCTACAAGACCTAGTGAATTTTTGACTTGCAGGAGTTAATATTTGAAATGTTTTAATTCACCATTTAAAATTTTCCCATAACATTTATTGACTTGTTGAAGTCATATTTTGTTCAAACATAAAGGTAGATAATCGATGACCCAAAATCAAAAATGGACTTTTTACGTCTGAACACTGATTGTAAGTCCTGTAATTCTTAAATTTTGGTCTGATACTACTGATTTTCTTTAAACCAAATCTGTTTAAAACACAGAACCTTTCCCCTCACTAATCTAATAAGGACCTGACAATGCCCTGTTTAGCTCTTTATTCCAAAGATGTATTAGGGATCTTTAGGATTGGTTCTAACAAAAAGTAACTTGAAGGTATACATTTTGTTGGCTGGTTTAAATTTTATCACAGTAGAAACTAAACATTGTCAGGTCTATGTAAGCTAAGGGAGATAACTGAGTCTTTATTTTGAAAGATTGGTTATTTCCATGTTTTATAATTCCTTGTTGATAAATTAGGAATTTATTAAGAAACTAAGTTTCAAACTCCCCAAGACAAAGTTGACTTAGATGATTTGGGCTATGCTTTTACAGTCCTTATTGGTGGTAAAGCTGTTTATGATTCTACATATTTATACATTCCTGGCTTTTGCACGTACAGGATTGAATGTTCCTGATGAAGGTAAATCCAGAAAAGGGCTTTTGATGTACAAAGTTTTGTAAAGTGTAATTTTCTATTACAGGAATTGGAACAGATATTCTTCTGCAACACATGTGACCAGCCATTGTGTGAAGCATGCAGAGAAGATACTCATAAAGCAAAGATGTTCGCCAAACATGATATTGTAGTCTTATCCAAACGGATAAGGGAAATCCACAGTAAATATCTTTGACAATAACAAAATTGTTGAGTAATGTAAAGACTGAAAAATTGTTAGTTTTGAAGAAAGTTTCTCAGAAAACATGTTTTCAAACCTTTGTTTAATGTATATAAAACAGAACAAGGTATATATGGTTAACATCAATGAGACAGCTACTCAACAATACAAGGTAACCAAAATAAGAATAATTTGTTGGTTTACGAATCCGCCGACCCAATTTTACCGATTTTAAGAAAAAAATAAAATTGACATTTCAAGCTATTTTATTCCCACCGACCATAAGAAATACATTATACCTGATATATTAATAAAATATCTGTGTAGCAGCATTTTCCCGAAATTAAATGCATTATTTTAGCATGTTTAAACTTGTTCTAAAAAAATTAAAATCTAAAAAGAATCCGTAGTGTTTTCGTTTCTAACAATTGACAAACAAAACTGACCTTGAAATTTTGTTTTTAAACAAATATTTTTGCAGAACCAAAAATATGTTAAAACCCCATTACAATAACTCCTTTTTCCTTTTTTGTCATAATTCCGTAAGATTTTTCATCTCATGGATGAAATGGACTCGTCAAAACGTGAGCAGGTGAAAGAAGTTAAAAGGAAAGAGATATCCACAAACAATTGATAATTTTCTAAAATCATAGATTGAAAAAATGTTCGTCTATTTGGATATCAAAAACCGATATCCTCGTCTTTCCGTGGGATGTGTCTTCTTCGCTTATGACACAGGTGGTAACTTTAGTGTTATCTCCGTGCGATGTGCTTGCAATTTTTTTATTTCACATGTGTTCGTGCTTGAATCTCATTATTCATCATGTCTCCTGAAAGTTGACAAAAAGCAACGTGTAGCTGCTTTTTTTCGTTCGTAAAATAACCATTTTATTTTCCTGTTTTTCCTTGGACATACCCCCTTTTTACAATCTTAATATGACGATGGCATGCATTGTATGTTTAACACAGCTGAGCAATAATATTTACAACTAAGAAATGATGACATAAAACCATACCAAAAATATTGTTAGTAAGCTGAAAGATATAATATTTTTTATATACATATTTATGTCTTGTAAGAATTTTATTTTCATTTTTTTCTGACTGACCGACCTTACTTCTTCACATAAAAATAAGAAAATCCATAAATCAACAAATTAAAAAATCCCTGGCCTTATACACGGGTTATATATGCGATTTTTGAAAAATGGACAAAATTGAAACAAACAAAAATACTTATTCATGTCCCTTCACAATAATAGAATTATCAAAAAATTTCTGAATTTACAGATGTTATACTATAACATTCTAATGTATTCTGCTGTATAAAATGATTGTTACCAACGGTCCGGAAAAGGTCATATTTGCCAGTCATGACCAAAACTTATTTGTCCTAAAAAGAAGAATTGGGTTTGGTCAAATTTTATTTTGTTTATTTCATTGCGATCGGGTTACTTAATCGCCATTGTTTATCCAAATTTGTTTTGAAATGCTTTTTCGGTAATAAAACTGCCAGTCCAGTATAGTATCATAATCCTGAGAGTTATCTTGAGAGATAACCAATTAATTTCTAGGAGATATTGGCTATC